CCGACATCACAGATTCTGCTAAGAAAAAAGCAACATTGCTTGTGCTAGGGGGTGCTGCTCTTCAAGATATATTTTTTAATTTGCCAGAAGCGAGTGCAGAAACGGGGGGAAATGTTGATGTTTTCACGACAGCTATTGGTAAACTGGATGATTACTTTCTTCCGAAACAGAACAAAACCTATGAAAGACATATTTTCCGTCTTATAAAACAGGATGAAGGCGAAAGTTTTGAAAAATTTCTGATTAAACTTAGAGATCAAGTAGCGAAATGTAAATTTGATAAACCTGATGAACATATCATTGATCAAATAATAGGCAAATGTTTATCATCGGAATTAAGGAAGAAAATCCTGACGATGGGTGATGAAATTACACTCGATAAGGTGATCACTGTGGCAAATACCTTTGAGATTGTTAATTATCAACTGGAAAGCTACGAACAAAAAGAAAAAACGAAAGCTAATGAAGTTAATACAATAAAAATCAAAAATAGAGATAATTCTAGGTGGCACAATCAAAACAAAGGTTTTAATGAAGAAAAAAAGACAACCAGGTGTACCAGATGTGGAAATTCCACACATATTTTACGAGGTTTTCCCTGCCCGGCTAAAGAGAAAAAATGTAACGGATGTGGTAAATTAGGTCATTACCAAAGATGTTGCAGAACAAAAACCTATCAACAGAAACGTAAATTTGAACGACAACAAGAAGGATATAAAACCTATGACAATAAACGACCACGGAAGGAAACAACAATAAATTCTCTTGAAGATGAGGGAGTTCAATATATATTTAATGTAAACGACGACGCAACAATTAAATGTGAACTAGGAGGGGTAAATTTAGAGATGTTAATTGATTCAGGTTGTAAGTTAAATTTGATATCGGATAAAACTTGGGAATACCTAAAGAAAAATAATATAATCTGCTACAAACAAGTAAAGGAGCCAAACAAAATATTACTGGCGTATGGGAGTAAAACACCTTTACAAGTTAAGGGTTCCTTTGAGGCAGTGATAAAAGCTAACGGAAGAAATATACGTAGTACCGTTTACGTTATTGGAAATGGATCACGAAATTTACTTGGAAAGGACACGGCAGTTAATTTGGGTGTTTTGAAGCTGGGTGTAGACATAAACAATATAAGATATGAACCTTTTCCTAAATTTAAAAACACACTTGTTGAAATTCCTGTTGATCCATCAATAAAACCAGTTATGCAACCCTACCGTAGAATACCTATTCCTTTGGAGGAGAAGGTAAATAAAAAAATCAAGGAACTACTTGATTCCGATATAATAGAAGAGGTGCACGAACCCTCACCATGGGTGTCACCAATGGTCCCAATTCTCAAAGATGACGGTGATGTGCGTTTATGTATAGATATGCGGCGCGCTAACGCGGCTATTTTAAGGGAAAATCATCCATTACCATGTATGGAAAATTTATTGCCTAAAATAAAGAAGGCACAATATTTTTCCAAGCTAGATATTAAAAACGCTTTCCATCAAGTAGAACTTCACCCCGATTCGAGATACTTAACAACTTTCATTACATGTAACGGCCTATATAGATATAAGAGACTTATGTTTGGAGTTACATGTGCACCAGAGCTTTTTCAGAAAATCATGGAAAAAATGCTTATCAAATGTGAAGGTGCCATCAATTTTATAGATGACATTTTGGTTTGGGGAAGTAATGGAAACGAACACGATTTAAGACTTGCCAATGTGCTTCAAGTATTAGAAGAAAATGGCGTTTTATTGCATCAAGGAAAATGTATTTACAAAGTGCAGGAAATAAACTTTCTAGGGCACGAATTGAGACCAGAAGGAGTAAAACCGTTGTCTAAGTATATGAAAAGTATTTCAGAATTTAGAGTGCCGAAAACTATAGAAGAATTGCAAAGTTTTCTAGGACTGGTAAATTACATAAACAAATGGATTCCTCATATGGCTACGATGACAGAACCTCTTAAAGAAATATTGAGACAGAAATTAGGAAAAAAAACTGACATTAAAGAATACTGGACAGACAGACAGAACAAAGCATTTGAACGATTAAAAGAGACATTGACAAAAATTGAAACCTTAGGATATTATGATGTTACAGATAAGACCCAAGTAATAGCAGACGCAAGCCCAGTCGGGCTAGGAGCAGTCTTAGTACAGATTGATAATAAAGGACCTAGGATTATTGCTTACGGAAATCGAACGCTCAATCAATGTGAAAGGAAGTACAGCCAAACAGAGAAAGAAGCCCTTGCTCTCGTATGGGCAGTTGAACATTTTAATGTGTTCCTTTTCGGTAAACAATTCGATTTAATAACGGACCACAAACCGTTAGAGTTTCTATTTAGCCAAAAATCAAAACCATGTGCTCGTGTAGAAAGATGGGTTTTGCGGCTGCAGGCATACCACTATAATGTCAAATATAAACCGGGAAAGACCAATATTGCGGACCCACTATCGCGGCTATGTGATTCAAGCCAGCCTCTATTTCCAGATAAAGACGATCATGTTCATCATATCGTAGAAATGGCAAAACCCTGTGCAATTTCGATGCAGCAAATTATTAAAGAATCAGAAACTGATCCTGAAATTGCCAATGTTAAAAAGGGTATTTATAGTAATCAATGGGACGATTCTGTCAAAACTTACAAAATATTTTCCGACGAATTATGTTTTTATGAAAATATCCTTTTGAGAGGGACTAAGATAGTAATCCCACGGAATCTCAGGGAACAGGTACTGCACGCAGCTCATGAAGGCCACCCAGGGATTGTTTCCATGAAAAGCCGCCTTCGGTCTAAAGTTTGGTGGCCTCGAATCGATAAGGATGTTGAGTTGATGGTAAAAAGCTGCAAAGGTTGCACATTGGTCAGTTTACCAAATCCTCCAGCTCCCATGAAACGGCGAGAGCTTCCATGCGAACCCTGGGTGGACATTGCAATAGACCTGCTGGGGCCATTACCAAATGGAGATTACATACTAGTCATCATTGACTATTACAGTCGATATAAAGAGGTCAAAATTACCAAGACTATAACAAGTTCACAAATTATTAAAATATTGAAAGAACTTTTTAGCCGGGTGGGATATCCACAATCCATCACTGCTGATAATGGTCGGCAATTTATCAGCGAGGAATTTAAAGGGTTTTGTCGCGAATGCAACATAAGACTTTTTAGTACTGTGCCATATTGGCCACAAATGAATGGGGAAGTAGAACGACAAAATAGAGATATCGTAAAAAGGCTAAAAATAAGTTCAAGTGATAAAAAAGATATAAGAGAAACTTTAAATGAATATTTAATGATGTATAACTCCACTCCTCATTCAGTTACCGGAAAGACGCCATCAGAACTTTTTTTCAAAAGGATGAATAGAGATAAAATACCTATGCTAAAAAATCTAAACGAAATCGAAAATGATTCAGAAGTAAGGGATCGAGACAAGATGCAAAAAGAAAAAGGAAAGGAATACGGAGACCGGAAAAGGAGAGCGGAAAATTTGGAATTTGCTGAAGGAGAAAAAGTGTATGTAAAGGAAATGGAAAAGATAAACAAGCTTTCAACTACTTTCAATTCAACGCCACATATAGTGGAGAAATCAGTTGGTGGAGATATCACGATAAGGAATGAAGAGACTGGGCAAAGACTACGAAGAAATGTTATTCATTTAAAGCGAATAGAAGGAGAATGGAAAGCGGTAGAAGATGAAAATCCATCAATTGAGGATCAGACAAATAATAAATAAATAATTCATAAAGTTACATATAATATAATCCGGTATTTAAATAATTCCTAATTTAACTCTACTAAAATTTAAGAGATTTATCTAACTTATGATTTAATAAAATATATTTATATATGGTGTTAAAATTGATTATAAATAATGTGTAAAAAATAAAATTTGTTAAAAAGGAAGGGATGTAGTGTTTGTATCTATTAAATAGATACCTGCACTGTCTCATGTACACCAGCAGAGGGGGTAGCTGTCAATCAGCCAGTTGTGTGACAGACGCGGTGACAGATTGACGTGCGACTGTGCCCGGGCTGTGTGTAGTGGTGAGCCAGTGAAGTAGTATTTAGCGTCCCTGAAGGAGTTCGTGAAGGAATAGTGGTCACTACAACAAACATTTTAACTTTGTTTATTTATTCGTTTCGGTTAATCGGCTGAATGTGTATACTTACTAATTAAATATACTAATTGAACCTTATACGGGTCACGAAGATAAATCTAAGTTAAACCGACTTAAGTTTATGTTCACCTTTAGCAGTAAGAGATCAAATACATGTTATATTACTGAATGGATGAAAACGCATTCAAAATGTTATATTATCTTTTGATTTATAAATACAACAATCGGCTGAATGATGAAAATTGCTTTATAAGATATTCATTGTTCATATACAGTAGTATATTTTGTGTACTGATGTACAATGATTCACCCGTAGCTGGCGGGACCGAACACTTTATCATATCCTTGTGGCGGGTTGTGTTTTTCTAACTCTTTTTCTGCGCTGTGAGTTATATCTTGTGTGCACTTATTTTCCGATAAACTAGACGTACAAACTGACTTGGCACGCAAAACTGACCTCCGGGAAAAATTATGGCATAACAAAAACAGCAGTTTTTTTTATAGACGAGAAAACGATACCTTTGTATTTAATTTATATCGTTAAATTACAAAAAAAGTTGTTTCTTTTACTCTGTCAATATACACAAATTTCAAATAAACATAATTTTTATAAGATTTTTGTTTATTTGAAAATATATTGTAGTTATTTGATTTATCAAAACGCCATATCACCCATAGGTTTGTGCCTAGTGCGGACACTAATAATTATTATCAGATGACGTAATACGACGTCGATAATATCATTATTATTGCTACATTTTATTATACATAAATACGTATTATACTGCAAACACCGAACTTAGCTACAGTTAGAAATCTACCTTAAGACGCATTTTATTACGTTTAAACCTGATAAAATGCGTTTAAACGTAATAAAACTGACTGATCGTTGTGGAAATCTATGGGGGAGGCCCATGCTCCGCGGTGAGTCTCGTACGGCCGCTGAAGGTGATGAAATTTGACGAAATTCCACAAAGTCATTATATAAACTGCTTTCATTAATAAAGTTTTGTTGTTGTGAAAAGAGCTAGAAGTAAGTACCGTAGTGTTGGACGAAAGTTCAAGTAACAAGTTGCTTTCACAGTAGACAACTTAATTATTATATTGATGTCATTACTTAGATACAAAAGGTCAGTTTATTGGAAGTGAGGTTCATAGAAGATTTAGTTATCTACCGATAATTAATATCAAGTTATAAGTTAAACCAACGAGTCACATGTTTTTGTGAAGTTAGGGCGTATACAGTAAGTAGCTTTGCTCTACACTTGACATACTCTACTCTCGACAAAATTTTACACGAAAATGTTTATAGTGGGATTCTCTTTGTCTTTAGAAGACAAAGGACGACATTTTTATATAGGAGCTGTAAAATAAACGTCCAAATAAGCTTAAAATTTAGTTTTCTTATTATTACTTGGACATATATATAAAAATATATAACTAAGATCCTTAAATAAAAATATATAACTAAGATACTAACCTTTTGATGCTCATTTAGGCTCACGATTAGTCTTATTTTCATTGTGTTTTTGTGCTTTGTCAATGTCAACATAATTTGTTGTTGTTATTAGGTCGATGCGGAGAAGGCAGTCCGTGCGAGCAGTTGTGCAGAGAGTTGCACGACGGCACATATGAGTGTGGCTGCGGCCCGGGCTACGTGCTGCACGTCGACGGATACGGTTGCTTAGGTCGGTATTAATGGTGCCGCACTATCGATACTTTATCGATAATTGACCTTGAAACTCGTCTTCAACGATATTGTTTATAGATATTATTTATAATAATGCTACTGTTTATTGCAATAATAATGGATAATACCAACTCTTACTATTCTAACACCAATTATTACCATTGAAAGTTTTGATACTATCTGATTAATGCTGATTTAAGGACTCATACTCGTTTCGCCCGCATCTTGTTTTTATGTACCTAACTCAGCTTAATATAACCATTATTTATAATAACTGTTTTAATAAATATCTATGTTTCTATATCTTCACGCCAGGTCACTTAAGGGGTAGGCCAGGAGAGAGAGAGAGAGAGAGAGAGTGTTCGAAGGCACGGTCTTTACGAAAATCTTTCGTGCCTTGACATTAATGACTTTTAATAAATGCTCTCTAGTTTTATTAATTATAACAACAATAGAATTATGTGTTTATTATAAAAGTATTTCATTAGCATTTAACATGTTAGAATTAAACAAGTTTCATTACTGGTTTTTATTGCAGAATTAAATGCAACTAAAGCAACTGAAGCGACGTCAGACAGAGAAGAAGACGTTTTATACCAGAAGGATGTTTCCTTCTCAGCAGAACTAGAAGTAGCCCCGTCCAATAGAATAATTAAGAATAATGTAAGCGATAGACATATCGATGACAACCAAAGACTAACAACACTGCCGACAGCGACAAAAAAAGACAGAACTATCAGTTACACTTATACTGGAGAGAGAAGCAAAGAAGTTGATGGACTAAAGAGTTTAATAGAGGATGGAATAAGTAAAATGGATATTAATATCATTGCGGATGAAGGCAGAGTTGTTTACGAAACAAATGAGCTGAGAGTTACGACGCTTGGTCCTAGCTTAGAACAAAAGGTATATATTTGAACTCTTTAAATTTATAGATATTGTAGAATATACAATACCTATTAAAATTTTTCTGAATTTATGTCGGAAATGAAACAACGTTTAAAAAAATAAATTTAGTTTAACAAGATGTTTTTAATTTATCGGCTTAGTCGTTTTTTTGTAAGCACTCTAGACACTAAAAAGTAGAATTCATTTTAAATATTTTCATCTTAAAATATTATCAGCTTTTAAGCCTGGAATAATGGTGTGGGTTGTACATTTGGTAATATATTACATTATTTTAATTAAGTAAAGCTTAATGTAGGACTGTTTGATGTTCTTAAATAGAAGGTAATTTCATTTTCCTTATCTTATATAATCTAATAAATTTCTTATTTGTGTAACGGAAATACCACCATTATGTATTTTACGAAAGATATGAATTTTGATTTCAGGCCGAGTCCCTATTAAAGTAAATGAGTTGTCACAAATTTGGATATTATGTTATCGTTATCGTAATTTCCTTGACATTTTTTTTTGGAATCTAAGCAATATAATGTTGTTGACATTATTTTGCGAGTTTTCATTTAATTGATTTAAAATGAAAAATTTCTAGCTTCTGGTTATAAAATAAAAGCTTGTTGTATGATATTCTGAATCTAATTTGGTATTAAATTTTGTTTGAATTTCCTATAGGTGCCAGGTGCGACTTCTTCACCTCCTTGGACGGCAGCAGTCGAAAGCTGTCATTGTGATGCTTGCGATCCGAGATGCGTCTGCTCACACAGCAAATGTAAAACAGGTTGGTGATAGCCATAGTAACCGCCTTTATATAGCAATATTTTACTGTCTGCAGTGCCATTCTGTTTTAAATTTCAGTCCCGCCAAGGTCGCAGAGATATTACCGACCAATAACAGTTCCTTCTTCATCTATTAATTATAGGCAGAATAGCTTTATTGTAAGTTTAAATATGATGCTTGAGTGTGGGTATGATGTTGACATTTTCGATTGCGACATTAATTCCTTTAAGCGGAAACCAATAGAATATTTACTCTCTCGTCGATTTGTAGCGCAGGTATGATTATATGTTTGATGGTGTAGTTCGTGTAGAAATTATCTAATTAGATCTAAGCTATATCTATATCCGGATGCCTATAATTTTAATCTATGTTGTTTAAATAGATAAATATAAATAAATAAAAACTTCTAGGATATTTTTCGGGACACTGAAGTACAAACAAATAACACCTATTAGTTCTTAAGATAATAAAGGATTCATTATATTGTTCCTCTCCTGATACTAGCGCTATGCTCGATAGGCTGTTTTTTATTAGAATAGCATGGGTTATTCTTAATGTTTTAATGCCTTAATTTTTTTATTTTTTGTACTATAATGCTATATTATAATAATATCCGTCACCATTGATTTGTGAGGAACACATATTCACTCACTTTACTTCCAGGTCACACTCATAAATTCATTCAGGTTATAAAAAGGATGCGTTCCAAAACATATTTTTAATTTCTGTTTAAACGTCGGTAATGGCAAATCAGCAACTTTAAAAGGCAGTTTATAGAACATATCCATCTTCAAACTAAATCCATGTTTATATGTTTTGTTCAACTTAGTGCCCTACACTAAGTTTGTCCTTATTTCATGTGTTATATCTGTGAATATCTTTTTTCTTAGGTTGTAATTCCTTCCACGAGGGGACCAAAATGTATAGTGATATTCTATTTTGTTTATTTTGAAATACTTTTTAACATATGTAGCACTAATAATATTGTATTTATTTCAGAAAAATTTATAAAAAAAAAATAAAAAAAAAATAGAATCTCAACTAGAGATCCTATTGAGACGCGATTATTACTTAAACATTAGCAGATTTGGTGTCCAGTCCACCAAATAGTTCCGAACCGAAAAGTTCCGTGCTTACTGTAAGTTAAAATTAAAAAAAAATTCAAGAAGGTTGAACAGTTCCATGTCATTAAATGGAACGTGTGTTTCACAAAATGTTGTCCTATCAAATACGTTTTGTAATCACAGCACTAAATAATTTAATTTTACAACTCCGCCGACGTGAACGAACTTTAAATAACAGGAGCTACGTGAACCATAGCCTCTATTAACATTATTCATGTTATACTTTAACTTCATATTAAGTCCAAGTCAGAAACGTGATCGTGATTTCACATCTCTATGTTGTAGACGTGACTTCATTTCAGGAGGAAAGAATCCGGACTAAAGATGTAATTGTCTTTTTTTGCAACGCGACTAAATAAGGCCTGAAGATCTTCAACTTCAACAATTCAATTACAACTGAGGAGAATATTTTGCGCTTACTAATAATAATTAACTTGTTTAGCAGAATCGATCGAATGTAGAGTTCAACAACAAGACCATTTAACTACAAATTATAAAAAAAAAACATAATATTAATATTGTGCTACAATATGCTACATAAAATAGAATACAATATTATTTATTGTATATAACGGCGTGTAGTCAGAACGGGCTTTTACGAAGCCCAAATAGATGGTCCATATCGGAGGACTATCTTTAAAATAACACTGCAGGCGTGTATACGGCGACGTGGATTTGTTCCATTTTATCACTTTTCATACGAAAATATAACGAGATGAGCGTGATGTCGTAAAGTCAGTGTCATCATTCTAATAAAATTAAAAGTATCGATGATCACGCTCTCTTTACAATCGAGTAATTAAGTAATCGAGTAACTAGCAATTAAAATAAAAGAAACTAAATCAAACGATCTTCGTAGAGATGATGCGACATATACATGTTTTAATTAAAATTGCAAGACAGGATACTAAGACATAAATATCTCTCTAGGCAACCTTTTTGTAAGGAGTTAAGATAAAATAATCTAATTACTTATTTAGTGTTCGAGATTGTTTGATGACTGTGATAAACTCAATAAAATTATAATTATTACGACAGCAAGTGGGAGCTAGTGACTGTGTAAAATTAATACAACATTTATAACAGACATTACACATTTTAATACTACATTCGAAACACTTTTCAACGGCTCATATTTTTCTGCACATACTTTTAAACTAAAAATAAACTTAACAAAACCTTGAAAAGCATAAAAAAAACACACACAATGGAACGACGGAGAAAGTTGAATAGGTGACGTTCCGGTAAAAACTACTTTTATGTAGCAGTCTCATTCTTTCCCCTCTCATCCCCTACGCAGTTTCTCCAATGAGATTTCTGTCCTCCGCAGCTACATACGTTTTGAATCGATAATGCACTCTTTCCCCTAGAAGCTATTTCAATAGGTTGTAAAGTATAGTGCAGTTTTGCCGCCAGCCTTGGAGCACATACCTCGAACCCTCGATATCACTTAATATAATTCAAGGGGCCGCATTCTTCGAGAGCTCGATTAGGGCCAGCGAGTACACCCCAAGGGGTGGCGTAATCGAAAATTCAATTCAGTGTAGGGTTGCTAGTAAAAATGTTTTTTTTTCAACTAACAGAAAAGGAAAAGGGATTTTCAAGACGATACGTGATTATTTCCCTATAGGTGTTTAAATTTAATAAAAGCTAATGACACAAAAATAATACCTTTAATTATGTTTTTTTATAACATGTTATGAAATAAGCTATTCAACGTGAAATTTACAGATGTCATTAAATTTTTAGAGGTTCCGAATATTTAGAAGGCTTCAGTGACCTTAAATCTATGTTCAATTACCACGGAACCACTGCTAAAATATAATATATTAATATGTACCAAACCATATATGAATAATACTTCAAATTGATAATGTACTTTTTTTCTAAACTGAATCACTCTAAGGAAAATAAAAACCTAGGTATTTAATATTTAAAGAATTGTCCACTTACTTCGACCAGCAATATAAACGATAAGTACTAACAAGCAAATACTGGAATTGTTAGTTATAAAAATATATTAAAAGCGTCCATATAAAATACGAGAGTTGTCTTCGATTTTTCTGGAATTTTATTATCGGATCTTGGCCTGCTTTAAATGGGGCCACCTGAGAGATATACTCTTTTAAACAGAAAAAAGATTTCCCAAATAGCTCCAGGTATCATGAAGTACCTAATAGGAAAATATAATAAAAAAAATCCGACGAACTGAGAGCTTTTTTGAAGTCGGTTAAATAGGCATTGTATTGGTAATATTGTTCATCCCCTTGCACAAATCCTACCTATTTGTCGTACCTGTGGGATAGCGGAGGGCGACTTAAATTATCCCATACTACAATGTAAGGTTTGACATTCCATTTTCTAACACCATCTGATAATAAAATTCTTAGTTCAGGACAGGCATCTTAGGATCGCGGGGAAATGTGCAAATCTATAACGGAAAAAGATAAAAAAAAATAGAGAGCGGTTGATTGAAAGACAGGGATAAACTGAAATAAAAACAGTGAAAAGTTAATAAATACCTTTAAATTATTATTATATTATCAATACCATCATAAAATTAATATTTAAACGTATTTGTCGTTCCAAATTTTTCTTGTCTTACGAGATCATATGTATACTTATACGTTTTGTAACACCTGATCTTCATATAGGTACCTATGTTTGGCAATAAAGTTATGGAGTATTGAGTATTAAATGAATATTGAGTAGCTCGTTGGTGCAGTGGATAACCGCCGCGATCCGTGATCGTTGTTTTTATGTAACTTTCGCAAGGGTCGGCCACGGGATGGGAGACCAAAAATGTTATTATGACGATCTACTCCCTGCTTCGGAAAGCATGTAAAGCCATTGGTGCTGACTATATTTGCAGTCGTTAATACCCTCCAATACGTATTTGGCTAGCGTGGAGCTTCAAAGTCTTCACATTGGGGACGTAAAAGGGGCTGATGATGATGATAAGTATTGAACAGGCTATTAATATTCCCGCTGATTTTTGAATTTGATTTTGAGTGCAGATGAAGCCAGAACCAACGACTTAACGGGCTTTCCATAGTGCGGAAGAGCTGGAGATAATACATTTTTCATCACCCATCCTATATACGGCCCTTGAGGAATTTGCTTAACTTCTTAATACATGTGTTCTAATTCTGTGGATTTAAAAAGCATTATGGTCGGAATTAAAGATTTAAAATCACCAACTTTTCACATTACAGAAGTTTTCAAAGCATTTTTCCTGTCTTTCTTATAGAAAATCAATCTTATGTGCAATTTACTGTTAACCATACATTCAATTATGTAATAGTTATAACACACATCAAGTTTCCTTCCAAGAAGTATATCAGACGATAATATGAGACAACATCGCATACATTGTTCAGATTCCAAGATGAGAGGTTAAACCCTTCATATCAGTGTTGCCAACCCCAAGAAACTACAAAATGACAGCTCACCAATAAAAAACAGTAGCTTAAGTAAAAAGGAAAAATTTTATTTTATACTTCATATAGTAATAAAACAATCGCATAATTTTCTTTGTTCCCGGGATTGAATTTAAATTGGTTTATTATAACATTGATCACAAAATAAAAAATAAAAGAAAAGTGAAACGAAATAAAAAATAAATTATATTTCACTTTCATCCTCAATTGCCTCATCTTCTGTATTATCTGACTCACCTTCCTTTTTAAAATCATACATAGAGAAGCAATCGGTTATTTTAGATTATATTTGCATAGGTGGCGCAAAACGCTAATTGAAAAACAGTAAAAATTAGGAATGAAACAGAAAACGGGGGGGGGGGGGGGGCATTAATGTGACAACATTAAAACTACTGTTAAAATAGAAGCGTTGGTAACACTGCCTCATATTATGGAGTATCTGAGACAACGAAGGTATCAAAACTCCGAGATAATATAGAAAAAATCATTTTCTATATTTAATTTATTTCCTTTTAATAAAAAAACATATCATTATTATTACCTACATTGCACCAATTTTGTATTCAGATATTCATAGGTATCTTAAAGAAAAATACTTAAAAAATACCAGTCAGATCAAGATGGTATGTGAAAGTTAGCAATCTAGATTACTGCTTTAATCAATTAACTTAGCAGGATTGACAATATTTCTCAAGCACTTGCTACTTTCACTACTAGTGAGCTGATTTCCATCAATGTTTAGGCCACTCACCTAAATAGCCGAATGAAATAGTTAGACAACTATTTTAAGCTTTCGGTTGAGATAAAAATGTCCTCTGGTATTAAGTATTCTAACTTCTCGTTATGTCGGAAATCGTTTAGGGTGCATCTTAGATTCGATCATATGCTTCACTGCTGCCCAAACGACACATTTTATTTCTAGTTAGTATCATCCTACTTTTTTATTTATGCCTTTTAGATAAGAAATAGTTATTTTTTTAAACAAGTGATATTGTCTATGCAGCAACTTAACGTACGTAGATGAAAAAAATGTATATCGGTCCAGTAGTATCTATTTAATTCGAATAAACAATCGAATCTTATCTTTGTACTTATAGACTTTGATTAATAAATTCAAAGAGGTTCAAACAAAAGCAAAATTTATTAAATGAGTGTACTTATCATTAATTTAAAAGGGAGATTTTTATGATTTTTGTTCAAGAAATATTAAATTTTGCAATGTCTTAACCTTAACCTCTCACGTTATTAATAATTCTATAAGTACCCAACCACGATCTTAAACAGTCAAGAAATTCAACATCAACTATGGGAATATTTCGCCGGAAGCCCTTTTTCGAGGCGGAAGTTCCTCGCGGTAATGGCGGCTACCGACATCCGGTTATCGGTATGGCTTTGGCTAAAACAATATTTTGTGTTGGCAGAACAGTGTTTGTTATTTGAATGGATCAATGAACTCAGAGAATTGGGTTTTAATATAAGCTTTTATTTAACTTTGTTAGTATATAAATCTTGGAACTTAATTTGAGGCACTTCCCAATGTCCGATAGATTTGAAAATTTTCATAGACATGTAAATCAGATGACAATGCAACATCCAGCAAGCTGATATGATGATGAAGTCCGAAGGTTAGTAATGAAATGACACAACTGCATCGTGTTTGGGTTCGTTAGACCCGTCTTTATCAGATCAACGACATAAATAAAATTAACAGGAAAAACACCTTGCAAAACAGAATGCTATGTCAAAAATGAAAAAAAATAAAAAAGGTTTTTAAAAATGAGCTTTTATTTGACTAAAACTTAAATAATATTTTATGCACTACAAGTTCAGAACATTAATGTTAAAGTACTTATAATCAAAATTTTCTCTAACAGTAATTTACTTAAAAAGCTTGTAGCGCGTAAAAATATGTGTATTTTTATACTATCTTTTGCCTAAAACCTAAAATAAAAGAAAAAAGTCAGAAAATATTTATTTACAATATAGACTCTACTTCTAGGTAAATAAATATGTTCAGTTCTTTTTTTTAATAATGTGATTTTAAAGAGTATCATTTTAAAAAAAAAAAGATAGGAAATACTCCGATGCGCAGTTGACCGATATTTTACCAGTTCTTTTCTGTACAGATCAGAATGTGTCGACGCCGCGTTTCTCCGGCGCGTCGTGGCTCGCGTTACGCGCACTCCGCGGTGCGTACAAGCGTGTACGGTTGCGTATGCGCGTACGCCCCGAGCGAACGAGAGGGGTGCTGCTACTGACGGGGGAGCACGACGACCTCTCGGGCGATTACCTCGCTATACTGCTGAGAAATAGACACGTGGAATTGAGGTTAGTACTGTTAGCGTAACTTGAAATATTAATATTAACAATTTCAAACTTCACTGATTTGTGTGTTATTCTTGGTATCGGTATATGAACATATATCGATAACACAACTCATAATACGCTTTGGACTAGTTATCACCATTAAGTTAAGATGGCGTCATTAGTGTCGACTTCCGGTCAAACCATATATAATTTGATTAAATTGCCAACAGTAGTTAGTAGAAAAAAATACATGCATCTGGGACCAATGACTTATCGTGCTTTCCCACAAAGCACCGAGGAGCTTATGTGATATGATAGATAAATTTTGGTCATTTGAAGACTTTGCGAAAGTACTCGTAGCGTTTTCAGACGTAGAACGAACGCGAAGATACAGAAAGATAAACTTCTATTATTTTTACGACTAAACACGCAATGTGCAATCATTGTTGTGAATTCATCTGCAATTTTATGAGTATAATTTTTCGTATGATAACTGCGCTATTTTGGTGTGGCGGCTATTTTAGATTTATAATAGTTGTGAATACACGTAATAGCAACTACGGTTAGGAAATTCCACAGAAAGGAAGCAAAAATTCGCGTGACTTTTGACATATCCAGTTATGCTGAGTAAAATATTAAAGATAAACAGTCAGTAGAACTTAAATAGATAAATACAAACTTTTAGTCGAAATTACTAAAGAAAATCCAGCTTAATATACAGCAATAGGCATCCTTATCACTGTATTAAGGTATTGTTACAATCAAGAGTATCCCAGTTAATAAAATACGCATATTAGAAAATACGGGAGTTAATTATAATTCGCTGGTTCTTAGTACAAGTATTTATATCGTATCATATCAGTTTTATGGGATGCTAATTATAAAATAATTGCTTTAGGTTTGCTATTTCGATAAAGCAACCACTTAGAAAGACAAAATAATAAATTATGCATTCAATATGAATTTTGTGGATGAAAACATTAATATAGTAATGAAGGAAGAAATCTTTTTCAGCGATTCTGAACAGCTTTATTTTATTCGACTTTCCTCATCTTTGGAGCTAAGAAATATCCGCAGAAGCTCGGATCTGAATGTAAATATTACGAACCACACAAAAAAAATGTAACGGGTAAAGCCTTGCTCTAACCGATGACTGACCCCGGCAATCCCCTATATTCTCAAGAGTACTATTGAACAGTTTATTGGTAGAAACGGTAAGCTGTTTCCAATTAAAGCTTGATAAAAACTATATAAGTGCTTTCATGATCGATGCTTATTCAATAGACATATGAAATTCGAACATCAAAAAATATTTTACTGCTTATTTTTAGCATCTAAATTTCATTTTAAGAGATATTATAGTCAACAAAATATTGATATTCAATAATCAAAACAATTCATCATAAATCTAGCTTAGTGTAAGATTCTTATATAGCCATTTGTTAAATAGCTATAAGAAAAAAAAGGAAATAAAAGGGTCTTTATTATTCTGCAAACTGAATTTAATAATATTTAAATAAACTTTAATAATATTTTATTTGTTTTTATTATGCATTTACTATTTATATTCGATAATATCACATTTAATTAATAAATAGATGCTTTATTTAATGAATAACTACGTTTAGTTTTACAACAAACTAATAGTTTGAAAAAAAAAACAATATCTCCATTTTAGAAAGTAGACTATCTGTTATATTTTTAATGATAAACTTGTATATGAAATTATATTCTTCTTAGCGAACCTTTTCATTGCTTTGGGATAACTAGACCGCGATCTTGTGTGTTATATTTTGTTGACTTTTTTATGTTGGGTTATAGAAATAAAATTATTTTATTGTTTTAAAATTTTTCCAAATCATCTCTTTCATTTAATGGATATTAAACGAATATATAAGATAGTTAAAATAAGAAGACCGCGATCTTACGCCCTCGACCATATTGAATTTAAAATTATGTGACTTACTAACCATGAATTGTCATCTTAAAAAATATATATATGTCGTGGCCATAACGTCAAATTAATAATTTCATGAGCAGGCCGGCCATTTCATGAAATGAAATAAAATACAATTTTGAAATACCCATCTCAAATTGATCATATATTATATATATACATTTCATGAAATGGTTTTATTTTATGTAACACCCATCTAAAAGTGATCATATCCTCAATTTCTAACCTATCACATAACCTATAGTACTGCCCTCACGAGCCTCAATCGCAGTAACAGCAAAATTTGCATTTTTGAGTTCTTAATATCGTCTGAAAACCCCAATTCATACCCTACAAGCATAACTTGTAATTTTTTTTCTGCGACCAGAAATATTATTTTACCTTTGTTTCTTTTAAAATAAATCTTTGTAATTTTATCTGAAAATACGCTGAATATGTAGTAACAGCTCATTTTACTGTATTTTAAATTGTTTAACAAACGATTAAGCAAAAATCTAGAAGTAGAAGTAGGTTGAAAATTGTAATGACTATAATTAATTTATTGATCATGTTTTCAACCTGAAATATTGTGAATTTTAAGTATTCTAATTTTTTTTACACTTTGCATTCAAAAATTTTTATAATATACATTGTTAAAAATACACAATATTTAAACTACACTCGCGTTTTTCTCGGTTTTTTGTTTTTGCGATTTAGATTCGGAACGGCAGAGTAGTTAATCATGTTGGAAATTTAGTTAAGTTCATATCTCAAATACTTTTATATCCTGCAATATATTTTAATCATCCTCTGGAGTTAGATCGAAATCCTGTCTTTATCATAATGCGCATAATCTTGCCACATATCCAATTAAAAACTATAGAATAGCCTTTTTCCGCCACCTCCGCACTCGCACTACATTCTTACAACTATCCCATAATCAAGTAATTGATTTTCGTTGCTTATTCACCGTTCTTTCTTTAATTTGTTGTATAAACCAAAAATAAAAATTACATCATGTATCACAAAAACAATGCGAGATTATCGCCTCATATACATTGCAAGTTAAATAAAATCTTATGAAGAGCTTAAATATTGAGGATACGAGTAAATAAAAACTGTGTCAGAGAAAATTTGCAACTATATCTACATTAATTATGAAAACAAAGTATCGTTGTGAAGTACGCACAAGTTATTTATGTGATATATAATAGGTAGGTATTTATATAGTCCCACTTAACTTGTCGCCAACTTTGATTTTATTTCAGTTAGTATCGTCTCGTCTATAGCACATACCCCAGATTCGAATCGAGGAAATGATCCCGAGGGACAGGGTCGCTAAAGCCATTTAAATATTCCGCAGTCAGTTTTGACGAAAGCTGTCTCGGCCCGGAGCCTTTTACATTCCAGCCTGTTCTACATTCCGTCGGGTCACTGTGAAATAAACTCATATTTTATGTCGTTCCGAAACTGATTTATTTCAGGAAACATTCATCATGTGGTTTGGCTTAAATTCTTGATTCCTTCTCTACATTTTGAAAGGTTATATATATTTAAGTCACTAAAAGAAATAGCATGTATTATTTCGGTCATAGATTAAAAATAGTTTTTGTCAGCACCCTTTGTCTGCGTGGTTTAGTTACTGTTCGAAACTGTTCTGTTGCTAAATCAAATACTTATTTATAAGTGCCTAAATATAAAGTTTGATGGTCTTAACTTTGACAATGATGAACTTCCATACAAACTTCCATCCCCTATTTCAAACCATTTATCAAGATAAAAGATAACCTATGTCTATTCTTAAGGTCAACTCAAATCAGTGTCTGAGTCGTGAAAGCGTAACGGACATACCTACTTTATATAAATATAAATAGTTATTTACTTAATTGAAAGTTTGATAAAATTATATCTACAAAAAAATACACCTTGAAATCATATTTTATACAATTTCAATGGCTAAGAGTTTTGAATGTATCAATTACTAAATCTTTCTCGGCTTCAAGTTTCCCACTGATTATACAAAAGTAACGCCTTTTACACCCTTCAAGGAGCTTTTCCTTCAACCATTTGACCAAAATTAGTCACCATTAAATTACCCAGAATCCTTTGTCACTCACGTAAGGCTTAAAATCGCGTGAGAATGTTTGTCCCAAACCGTTTCCCTCCATACATAAAACAAGAAGCAATTATGTCTCTTTCTGAAGCGGCAATAAAAACACCAGAAAGGGCCGTTGTGGGGAATTAAAAACAATCAGCAGTGCCATCTAACAGTCGTTCAGTGTAATTGCTTGAGCTGAAAGGTTCGAGTTTGAAAGAAAGGTAATTATATCAAAAAGTATTGAAAGTTTTAGATACATCCATAGATAATATTTTCCTGTCATTTGTATAAAGTATCTTATTGTATATTGAAGTCATAGATACATATGTATGAAAACAATGTGAAAACAAAAACAATTATAATTTCACACGAAAAATCTTCGAAGAACTTTTTATAAAAAAATTGAACTGACTTCAAATTTAAAAAGTGAAAAATAATACTTAGGTATCTTAAAACAAACAGAAAAAAACCTCCTCCTTTTTTTGAAGTAAGTTAACTAAATAGCTATTTATATATTAAAGACTAATTGTTTTCTGGCAACATTCCTTGCGTAAATTATCTTCTATGTTACCCGCGTATGATGTGACTTCCTGTAACCATTAAAACAATTAAATATACCAAAGCTAGCCCAAGAAACTGTAACTAATAAAGGAAAGAAAAAATATGCTTTTATTTCCAGAGATCAGTTTCAGAAGATTATGTTTCAATGAGAGCTAATTAATAACAGAGCTAATTAAACACATACGAGTATTAATAAAGCTTATCGCGGAAATTAATTAAACATTTGCGTGAAGTAATTATTTTCTTTTTTATAAAAACCTGTATTTGAATAATATTGTTCAAGTTTGTCTTAATTAAAATTTAAGGGCCCTTTTCTGAAGTTATTTCTTTTTTTAATTAATTCTTATTGTTTTTCTTTTCGAAAACCTAAATAGATTCTGGTAAAGCTGGATCAGACTAATTTATTTGCGACGAAACATAAGCTGAAATCGATGACCTAGTCGTT